GAGTAGAGCTAGCGGTTCCAATAACCGAAATACGTTGATTGGCTGTAAAAAAACTTTTTATTCAGCTCAAGTTTGGGCGATAAACGCCCCCTCTGAGGCCATCTTGGGAACCGCAGCCCTAGTGGTCACCCAGCTTTTACCATAGGAACTTTATAGATGCCTATCCTCTCTCAAGAACTCTGCCCTTGCAGCAATTCTGCATTTCATCGACGGCTTCCTCAGGCAGGGATTCAGCTTTCAAGAGCAATTCCCTGCCTTTACTATAAAGCCCTGTGATTAATTTGTCATATTATTTAGTAGGGATGCATTCGGCTTGGAGGGGGGGGCATTTGTCCTTTCACTGCTTCCCATCGAACTGTTCACTGCTCTACAAGAGCTGACAGGTGGCCTTCACAAACATCGACTAGTATCACTTCATGGCTTCACAAGATTTCACAAATCTCTACTTGATGCTGACACGACGATGGGAAGCGGCGAAACTGCAAAATGCCTCCCCCTCCTAGCCGTATTGCCCTCTGTAGTCTGTGGATTAACTACTGCTCCAACGTTGCCTTCTTTTCATCCAGTAGAATCTAATTATTCTCGTTCCTAATCGCGTTATCTATGCAATGATTAGCGCTTTTCACAAGAAAATCTGTCCTTTTGCAGTATCGTTGGCCTCCAATCTTTGGGCAATAGTTTTTCACGAATAATTAATCAGAATGTCACGAACATTTCTACTCTTCACACTCGCAATCGTCTGTGCCGTTGACGCCCGAATGAGGCGGCAAACGTCGTCGGAAGAAGAGGAAGATGGACCCGGGTGAGTAGATTTTCACACACTTTTTCCAAGTTTGATAGCTCATTTCTGGGTGCTAAGGTGGTTAGGGGGAGGGGGAAGCCTAGCCATACAAGGCTGTGCCCTCTCTGTCCGTCTGATCGTGAACTCCTCTAAGCTGATCATGTCGCAGCGAGAGAACGTAGACGAGCTGTACTAGCAGCCCTCTCAACCGCCTCAACACTCGTCAAATTTGAGCTTCTTCCACAGCATTTCCTTCCGTTTTGAGAGCAACGAAATATTCATACGAT